GACATCTAGGTCACTGGCATAACATAGTTCCTACAGAAAATGTTGTACATCCTACTTCAGTGAGTAGTGTCTGGGATCTTAAAAGCTTGTGAGCAGCCATCTAAATCGCATCTGTTGGTCCCATCACATTGGGAGTGAAGGAGAATGAAGAAAACCAAAGACGCAAGGAAAATATTAGCTCAAAGTACTAATGGACCACATGAACCACAGCCTCCACTGAGCCCAGAAGAAATAGATGGTGGCCAGCTACCACCACTGACAATTCTGACAGGGATCACAATAGAGGGCTCCAGACAGAGCAGGAGAAAAATACAGAACAAAATTCAGATGCACAAAAAAGACCAGACTTAACTGGTCTGACTGAGACTGGAGGAACCCCTGAAACTATGGCCCCTGGACAACGTGCTAACTCAGATCTGAGGCCACTCCCAAAGTCTACCTTTCAGTGAAGGTCAGACAGACCTATAAAACAACACACATGAGGAATGTGTTTCTTGGTTCAATCAAGTATCAGAAACCTAATGGACAACACCTGCTCAAAAAGGAATAGAAGGCAGGAAAGGACAGGAAACGTACGAATGGATGTAGGGAACCTGGGGTGTAAAGGGAAAAGGGGAGTGTGCTGACACATTGCTGGGATTGCAGCTAGTGTTAGCAAAATAATTTGTGTATAAATTTTTCAATGAGACACTGATTTGCACTGTAAACTTTCATCTAAAGCACACACACACAAAAGAAGAATAAGAGAGACAATGGAGATGAGTGCATATGCAAGGCAGTGGTTATAATATTTGACCATGAGAGTTCAGCTAGGTAAGGAGGGAAGTGAAGCCTTTAAGGGGAACAAGACAGTGAAATGTAAAAGGATCAGTGGTTTGGAGTTTATGATGGTTAAGAGGATTATTGGAGTTAGAATACTAGAGAAAGTGAGGTAGAAAGACAATTAGAAAAGGCTAAGATCAAGGTTTGTAATTCTTATTCAGCTAGTCTTTTGATATGTATTTTTAAAAACATTCAAAAGTTTATTATATAAACATTCCTACAGAGTGTGTTGTACAAGAAAGATAAAAGGTGTGAGATTCTTGTTTATGTAAACGCATTTCTCCTTTCAGTTGTCAAGTATTCCTATAAAAATACCAACTGTGAATTACTTAAAAAATATTTCCAACTGCTTCTCTACTCTTCTATCAGGTGAATGAGGGATTCCTTTTTTTGTGTGTGTGTCATCATTAATATTTGTCATGACGAGGCAGACACTACTTCAGACATCTTACCTTTTGTGCATTATGAAATTATTAAGCAGTGATGCCCTCTGAAAAATTAGCCAGTTTGTGAAAAAGTTTCATAGGTCGCTGTTGAATTATGCTTTCTAAGGTTTCTTGATAGTTTCTCTTTTTCTTTTTTTGGTAGTTTGGGCTAGACTTTCCTTATTGCTTTAGTCTTGTTCTATCTGGAGCATTTTCTCCCTAGCACAGAGCAGTTGATTTATTTTCACTGTAGTTGAAGTAAGTATAAAACTAGATGTGGTACTTTGCAGTCATAATTCTTGTTTTGATGGTACTGTAGGATTATCCTAATCTCGGAGGAAACTCAAGAACTGAAATTGTTATTCAGTGATTTTCTAAACAAGTTAAAGTGATTAAAAGTAGATTTGGATAAAGGATTGAGAACTCATTTTCTTTAAAAAAAATAGATTCTGACTATGAGAAAAATATGATACACTTGACAGAAGATTGGAAAACAAAAAAGTATAGTGCTATATATAGGAGTTTGTGCAAATTTGAATTGTGAATGGAGAGAAAATGGTACAAAATATTAATAATATATGACTTATATAAGAAGTTTGAATTAATATAAACTCCTATTCTCTCCCTACCAAAAAAGAAATAGAAAAAGTAAAGAACTGATTTCAAAGCTGGACCAAGTGAATTGTAAACTTCATTTATGCTCTTGCCACATGTTGCCATCATCTTTGTTGGGAAATAGGATTAATTTTCCTGTCAGGATTAATCTTGAATTATGTGAGTTTTGAATTATACGAAGTCTTTGGTTATCCATTCCTTGCATAAATTATGACCACTGGAATAAAGTGAAAAATCACCTGTCATTCTATCACCCAGAGATAATTGTATTACTCTCTTGCTATATGTGTATAGAAATATATTTTAATGGTTTTTTTTTAGTTTTGTTGTTGAGAATATACACAGCAAAACATACATCAATTCATCAGTTTCTCCATGTACAATTTAGTGACATTGATTACATGCTTTGAGTTCTGCTACTGTTTTCACCCTTGTTTTCTGAGTTGTTCCTCCCTCATTAACATAAACTCATTGCCCCCTAAAGTTGCTATCTAATCTTTCGAGTTGCTGTTGTCAATTTGATCCCGTATAGATAGTTCTTAAAAAATCATAATGCTTAAGGCAGACCTTTTTAACTAGTTAAGCTAAATTATTGTTCAGTTTTAGGATGACTTCAGGGTATATTTTTAGTGTAAGGTTTAATTAATGGTGTTTTAATCAGTTGTCATTGAGTCATTTCCGATTCACGGCAACTCCATGGTGTTTTACATACTATTTTATAGTTTTTTCACTTATCAAAAATAGATGATGACTGTTATCCCATGGAGTCCTTGGGTGGTGCAAACACTTAAGCACTCGTCTGCTAACCAAAAAGTTGGTGGTTTGGATCCACACATAGGCACCTTGGAAGAAAGACTTTTCCATTTACTTCCAAAAGATCACAGCCATTGAAAATCCTATGGAGCACAGTTCAGCTGGATGGCAGCTAGTTTTCTTTTTTTTATTTTTTTATTCCACTGTTGTGATTACAAATAACTGCATAGTATTTTACCATAGATTATAAATGAGTGCATAGTATTATACCACTAAGGAGCCTTGGTGGCACAGTGGTTAAGCACTCAACTTAAAAATGAATGTCCTTGTATACAGTATCTGTGTGCACAGCCCAGATTATTTTCTTAGGATTTAATTTCTAGAGGTAAAGTATACGAATTACAAGTATATGCATTTTAAAGGATACAAAGAGTGTTGGAGAGCATATTGTCAAATTGTTCTCCAGAAAGGTTGTACCAGTTTATAGTCCCACCAGTAGTATTTTATATGCTCCTGAACTGGGCATTTTTTTCTTTTATGATCTTTAACTTATGATGTTATCTGAGGAGTAGACGTTAGGTGAACAAAAATAATAAAAATTAAATAAAACTTATTTTGGAAATATTATTTTTTTATTTTTTCCGTAATGCAGTAAAAAAATTAAATCCCTTATATTAAATATATATAAGCAATAAGTAGCTTATTTTCTACCACTCAGAAATTTTCTTGATAAAATATTTAATCATTTTGTGTTTTTCTGTTATACCCAGACAGTACAATGTAGATTATAAACTTGAGACTTACCTGAAGATTGCTAGGCTGTATCTAGAGGATGATGATCCAGTCCAGGCAGAAGCTTACATAAATCGAGCATCATTGCTTCAGAATGAATCAACCAATGAACAGTTACAGATACATTATAAGGTAATAGATGAGCTAATTTGGAATTAATTTTGTGTTAATAGTACTATATAAGGTGATCCAGAACATCTGATAAATGCTTCTATATATTAAATATTCAGTCTTTATCTTTTTTGCTTTGTTATTTTCCTCCTAATTGAAACATTTTCCCTCTATAGGTGTGCTATGCACGTGTTCTTGATTATAGAAGAAAATTCATTGAAGCTGCTCAAAGGTACAATGAGCTCTCTTACAAGACAATAGTCCATGAAAGTGAAAGACTAGAGGCCTTAAAACATGCTTTGCACTGTACCATCTTAGCATCAGCAGGTAAACATGTAATTTATGCTTTAATAAATAGTTATCTTTACTTAATTACTTCTGGTTGATTGCAATTGGAGTATTTAGATAGAACTGTTCTTCAAATGGGTGTCTTACTATTAGTGGTAAATTTAGTTTAAACTTTTAACAGTTAAAACCAACAATAAAATGGATTGTTAGCTTGAAAAAGATTTTAAAATATGCACATATCAGTCTATTACTTAGGAATAGTTAAGATACGAAGTTTAGTTCTCCTGAAATATCCCTGTGAAAAATGAATATCAAATTAAGTGAGAATTACACAAAGGGAAACTAAAATTAAAATCTAGAGATTGATTATAAAATAATTAATGTTTTGCTTTTAGAATTTTTTTTTTTTTAACCTTTAAGCCTCAGTTGTAGAGCTGGCATTCATATTTTTCCTCAATAAATATTAAAAAATAAGCTATCCTTAGAAAGTTCTTTTTACTAAATTGTAGCATGTAAATCACTTATAAACTATGAAGCAGAAAGGACATTGAGAGGAAATGCTGATAATTCTAAGTCATGGTTTTTCTAAATCATTCTAGAATCTTCATTCTTGAAACTCTTTGAGAGCCTAATGACATTCAGATTACACATTTCATTTCTTATGAAGCAGTAATCTTATTTATTTTATTTTTCGTTACTGAAAAGACAGTATATAAACATTGCACTGCCTCCTCTTCTAGAGGATTTTTACTGATTTCTTGTATTTCCTTTAATATAAAAGTATTTATGTGTATGTGTATTCTCCCCTTTTTTATACACAAATGGTAGGGTGATACTTCCTTCAACTTGCTTTTTTTCATGAAGCTGCATATCATAGTGCTGTTTTCATATCAGTACCTATAACTCATTTTTTAAAATTTTCTTCTGTCTGCCTTTATTATAAGTTATTTAATCAATTACAATGTGTAGTGATTATGCACATGTATGAATATATACATAGGTTAAATTCCTGAGTCCTAGGATAAAATTGTGATAAACCAAAAACCAAACCCATTGCCGTCGAGTTGATTCCTACTCATAGCAACCCTATAGGACAGAATAGAATTGCCCCATAGGGTTTCCAAGGACTTCAACTGCCGACCTGTTGGTTAGCAGCCAAGCTCTTAACGAGTGTGTCCCCAGGGCTAAAAATTATAAATTATCCTTTCATATTAAACTCCAAATAACAATGTCCATGAGTGTCTGACTTTTTACACAAGTGTTACCAATTTTTTTTGATCTTTGTTGACCTGGTAGATGAAAAATGGTATGTTACTCTAGTTTTAATTTGCATTTCATTTATTATGCAATCCTTGAGCATCTTCATATGTTTAAAAATTATTATTGAAAAACTTGTTGTTTTAGTTTCCTAGGGCTGCCGTAACAAATTATCACAAGCTGTTTGGCTTAAAACCACAGAAATTTATGATCTCACAGTTCTGGAGGCCAGAAGTCTGAATTCAGGATGTTTACTGCCCCATGATCTCTCTGAAGGCTCTGGGGGAAAAAAACTTTGTCTTTCCCAGCTTCTGGTAGCCCCAGGCATTTCTTGGCTTATGGCAGCTTACCTCCAGTATCTGCCTTTCTCTGACATGGTTGCTGTCTTCCCCATGTCTCTTCTCTTATTATATGAACACCAGTCATATTGGATTAAGGCCCACCCTACTCCAGTATGACCTCATATTAACTAATTATATCTGCAAAGACCCTGTTTCCACATTCATAGGTACTGGAGGTTAGGACTTCAGTGTATCTTTTTGGAAGACACAATCCAGCCTGTAAACCCTGTATTTCTTTTTTTTTGAGTGAATTATCTGTTTAGGTCCATTGACCATTTTTTGAGTTGTTTGTCCTTTTCTTGGTGACTTAATAAAGCTCTTTATATATAAGAAAATAAGATTTTTTTCCCATTTGTCGCCCTCTTTGGTTTTGCTCTACAAAAACTTAATTTTTAAAAAGTTAAATTTCTTAGTCTTTCTTTTATAGCCTCTGAGTTTTATTGAATTGCTTAGGAAGGAAGATCTTCCCTACTCTGAAATTGTGTTTTTTAAAAAATTCTCTGTTTTCCTCCAATATGTTAATGCATTGGCTCTCAAACTCTTTGGTCTTAGAACCTTTTGCACTGAGAAATTATTGACAACCCAAGAGAGTTTTGGTTTATGTAAATTATCAATATTTACTGTATTAGAAATAGAAAAAATATTTATTTTTTTAAAAGTAACAATTTAAAACATTTAAAAGTAACAGTAATAGACCATTACATATTAACATAAATGACCATATTTTAATGAAAAATAACTATTTTCCAAAACAAAAAAAATTAGTGAAGTGAGTAGAATTGTTTTACATTTTTCAAATCTCTCCAATGTCTAGCTTAATAGAAAACAGCTGAATTCTTATAACTAGTTCTGCATTCAGTCTGTTGTGATATACGAAGTTGAAGAGTATGAGGAAACTCTGTAGTTGCAAAAGGAAAGAGTATTTTAATAGTCTTCTCAGATAATTGTGATATTCTTCTTCGATAACGTCATTTAACTTGACAAGTGACATAGCTTCTTATAGGTTAGTTGCATTGTGGAATCTATAACCCTGTCAGTGAGCTTTGTGCACTGTTATGTTAAAATCCATTAGTCTGTGTTGCAATTTGAATGATCTTTGACCTGTGCAGGATTTTATACCATTGTGTACTGGTGTTCAGAAATACTGGTTCCCTGAGTTATGTAGAGCTTCCAAATATTGACGTATCTTATTATACAGTAGAAAAAAATTACGTTTGAAGATACTAGCACTGAGCATCAGAGAAGCCTTAAAGTATTGAGAAACAGTCAAACTCTGACATAGCCGAGTTTTCCAAAATTCTTGCTTAAAAACTCAGGTATTATCAGGAACAACAAATACTGGTTGTTATTCTTGTAGTAAGAGTCTCGCTTTGTTCATTTTTGGGAAAATTTGGTCTGCCAAATACCCAAGTCTGAATAATCATAGTTTGTCAGTTCTTTCAAATGAATGGCGTTTCAAGAAAAAAGTGGTTGTTTCAGCTTTCAGTGTTTCCTCACGACAACCATAGTTTGTTATGCAACAGAAGTACTTTATTTGCACTTCCCATTTTGTCCTGCCAAACATGAAAAGTACATGTTCTTCAGTGTCAAGAATTAATAAGAATAGTACTTTACTGTGTCTTCAAGGACATTCTTTTTTTTTTTTTTAATTGTTGTAGTTTAAATGAAGTTTACATTTCAAGTTAGTCTCCCATACAAAAATTTATACATACATTGTTATGTGACCCTAATTGCTCTC